ATCCCCCTGGCCTGAAGGAGGGTCTAATAAGCAGTCGTGGTCTTGTGGTGTGGCTGGTATCCTGTACGGGGACCCTGTAGTGCCAGTTACCTCTGCACTACAAAACTAGAGCAACCTAATGGGATTTCATGAAATATTCTAGTCCTCAAGCTGTCTTTCAACTTCCATTTAATTCACTATCATTTTCTGCCTCTTCCTTCTTAAATCAGGATTTATTTTGCAAGTTGCTAGGCAATTCATTTATGAGTTTGTAACTAGGCACCTAACTCTTCCCCACAAACTCAGCCAAAGCCATTTACTGATCAGAATAAAAGGAAGAAAAGCGCTTCAGTGGCGGGCTCATCTTTCATGTAGTCTAATAGGGACTAATAGGAAAGGAAGAATCATTAATGCATAATTAATTATCCAGCACACTGCTAACTAATTGGTGGAAAGCCAGCTGTGGAGTAACAGGAAAAGCGTGAGGGTGGGGGTGTGGAAATCAAGTTTCAGTCCAACCAGCTGTGGTTTTTGGGGTTGCTATTTAGGAAGGGTTTGAGGGCTTGCAGTCACTCCATTGATCAACTGCAGGTTACACAGTCATCTCCTCCACCTCCATCTATCAGGGCACGGATTAAAGAGTAACAGTGGTAGGTCAGCAGTGCTTATGAATAAAGTACAATGAAAGCATTAACTACTGATATTAAGGTACGATTCTTGGTTGTGTGTTGATATGAGGGGGTTTCAAAAATTTGTGGAAAATGGAATTAAAAGATAAGGAAATTCTTCCATAAACTTTTGGATTCCCGCTTGTATAGGCTTGGTGTTCATTGTCATTGTGTGCCATTGATTTGACAGGGGCAGATCACCCGGTCTTTTCTCTCACAGAGCGGTTGGTGGGTTCTGGTTAACACCCAAGTACTTAGCCATTGCACCACCAGGGTGACTTCTGGTTGTTATGTGCCATTGAGTCGGCTCTGTACAGGGTTTCTGAGTCTGTAAATCTTGATCGTAGTAGAAAGCCTCATGTTTGTCCTGCAGAGTGGCTGGTGGATTCAAACTGCTGACCTTGAGGCTAGCAGCTCAATATGTAACCCACTATGCCACCCGGGCTCCTTAGGTGTTGTCAAGCCCACTTTGACTGAGAGCAGCCTCTATGACAGAGTAGAGGGAGCAGATAAGTGTTCTGGTTCCTGTGGAGCGGCTGGGTGGGCTTGTAGCCCACCAAAGCAGTACTTCTCAAGGTGAAAAGAGAAAACAGGACTGTAGACTTTATCCATCTCTTCCTTTCCTGCTATGGGCATCAGAAGTTGATTTCTGCTATAGAATACTTGCTACATAGATCATGCATACAGCGTGGCATGCAAGATAACCACTGCAGACTCTTCTATAAGCCAGGTATCTGAGTGCAGTTCCTTTCACCACACAACTTGACGGTGATCCTTCGACTCTGAGTCTTCTGTGCCTTCTGAAACCAGCCTTCCATCCCTGGCTGCTGGCAATGGAGCCTTCTGTAGCCAAATTCCAAACATGTAGCTTTATACTATTACTTTCTTCTAGCTTTCTTCTGAATACAGTCTCTCCATTCCAGTTTCCCAGACAGCAAATCTACTGCTTTGAGCTGCCCATTCTGTCCCTATCCAATGTTATGGATCAGTTACTTTGCAGGGCATTGGGATGGAGACACTGGATTGCCTCTTGAAGTCCTCCAATCCTGGAAAATTCAGGTAGAATACCGTCCTATATTCATAAAGAAGTTGGTCCCAACTGCCATCATGCACCTTGCCTTTGCTGTAGATTTTGAAAATATACGCAGGACCATACTGCCAAGACTTTAAGATAGATTGTTGTGTGCCTTGGAGTCAGTTTCAACTCATAGTGATCCTGTATAGGGTTTCCGAGGAGCGGCTGGTGAGCTTGAACTGTCCACCTTGCAGTTCAGCGCATTAACCCACAGTGCCACGTTGGCTTTCTTTATTTACATAGCATCTTTATATCTTTCTGTGCTTATTTCCAAGGAATGGCCAACAGCGAGTAGAGGTTTGTGAATAACTCTTCTAATTATTGGGAACTGAAGCAGAAGTGTTTCCTAGATACAGGAGCATCAACTGCTTCTAAGTCCCCTGATGCGTCCTTAAATAAAAGGCAACAAAATTGACTGAACTCTCCTTCATCTTCTAATCAGGGAGAGTGGGTTCTGTTAATACAGTCATCCCATCATACCACCAGCATTACAGAACGACAGCCTTAAGACTCTGGAAACTTCTCAGGGCACATACCACTTGTATGGGAGTTGTCAGAATCTGAGTCTGCTAAGGATGCTAATCTAAGGGAGTGTCAAACTCATACCCTGATAATATGTTGCTGTTAGTGTTTTTCAAATGCAAATGGAGTAGAGACAGTCCCTCCAGGTTAGGAAAAAAAGAACCCAACTGTCAAAGTCTTTCTTGAAATTTAGATACAGCAGGCAGCAAGGGTCTCTTCAATGTTGTTTACTGCCAAGTCGGTTATGACTCATAGCAACCATGTATAGGGCTTCCAAGAGTGTCTGGTAGGGTTCAACTGCCAACTTGGAGGTTTAGCAGTTCAGTGCTTAGCCTACAGTGCCACACCAGGGGTCAATGAAATTTCCATAACGTTTTGAAACTTTAAAAGCCAATTGACTACAATGCAAGTGGAAAACAAATTTATGGGCCAGTAACTAAAGTTGCTTTCATGAAAAAAAAAAAAAAAATTATTCTGACGAATCTGTACAATTGTAATCTGACAACCATATACTGTTTCTGAGGAGTAGCTGGTGGGTTTGAACTGCTGACCACCGTTGATCATACTAAACTAAAGTTACCATCTTGATACCAACACCTCCGACCTTGACAGCACTCTGATTCCACGTAAGGGCTGTGGCTCTGAGCATGCTCTGTATTTCAGCAGCAGCATGATAATGCTGGGTTAAGATTTCTTCCTGGGTTTCAGAATCTTTTCTAAAACTGGGAGGTGGTTTTCTGACATGGAGCTTGGGCTGATTGACAACTAATGCTGCAACTGCCGATGCAGCGACAAACCAGGAGCGCTTCTAATTGGTTGATTCTGAAGCTCATGCTTATTATTCATAAGGGAGGCCTGCCTGTGGGACATTCCCTGGTCTCTAAATTCAGTTGCCCCAAGTTAGCATGGCTTCAATCCACCTGCTTCATACATTTCTGTTCCCTTCTTCCCAAATGGAGATGGGTCCAGCATCCTTTATTATAATGAATAACATTGAAACCTACTCTTTTAACTCAGTAATTGAGAATGAAATATAATTTAGAATACAAAAACAAAACAACAAGAAAATACATTCCTTGTGTTGGGTATTCACTATGTGTCTCCAAAGAAAGAAGGCCTGGTGTGGCGCTGTGGGTTAATGCACTGGACTGCAAGGTTGGCAGTTCAAGGTCATCAGCCACTCCTGGGAAACCCTATAAAGGGTCACTATGAGTCGGAAGTGACTCAATAGCATTTAACAACAATCCAAAGAAAGGACACAGGTATTTCTAAAGAAACAGAAAGGCAACTCTCCTAGTCCCTCATTTAGTGGCATTTTCTCTGGTGATTTGGGGTTCTGTGAGAAGGGACAAGTAAGTTTTGAATTTAAACAGAGTGAAGTGTGGTCCAGTATGAGATCTCTGTCATCTTTGTCAAGAAACACATTCTTGAACACTTATTAGGTAAAATGCAACCGAACTGTCCACACACTGCCTTAGAGCCTATAGACTGTCCCCGCTGTGAGTACAGGTCACAACACAGTCCCAGCATGACCTTGGTTACTTTACTGATTGTGTCTCTTACATGACAGTTGAACAACATGCTGAAGTAATGAGTGTCACTGAGGTCCACATGTGAAGGTGGATGGAATGTCAAATATCTCATTATATATATACATTGATGATCTCTCACACAATAAAAAGAATACCAACAATAACAACCAAAAGCCACAGTAAAGTTTCTTTTCCATTTCAGCATTTGAGAATTAAATACAATGTACAAAACAGTCAAGAGTGTGTTCCTTGTGTTAGGTCTTCATTACATATCAAAGGAGAGGACAAACATCTCTCTAGAGAAATGGAGAGACAAACTTTCTAACCCCTCATCTAGTGGCATTTCCTCTAATGGAGGCAGATGGCATTGTTGCCTTTTCATTCCATAAGAGATTTTCTTGTTTTAGTATTCTCTAGTGCCAAACGACATGGGAGATACTAAGTGCCAACAGTATTATTAGAGATGGCACCATGGAAGAGTGAGAGCAAAATAAAGGAATCTTGGAGGATGGTTCCCAACTAAAATGTGAGCCTTTCTGTAAGTCTGAATGTGAATGAGTGAGTGTGTATCTGTCTTAGTTATCTGGTGCTGCTACAAGAGAAACACCACAAGTGGATGGCAAATTTCTCAAACAGAAATTCATTCTCTCCCAGTTTTGGAGGTCAGAAGTCTAAATCCAGTACAAGATCCTTGTCTCTTTTCAGCATCTGTAGGTCTAGAATTCCTTGGAGATCTCCATGTGTCTTGGCATCAATCTTTCCCTGGATTTAGGAGCTTCACAGTGCAGGGACCCTAGGTTCAAAGGACACACCCCATGCCTGGCTCTTCTGTCTTGGTACTATTAGGTCCCTCTGATTTCTGCTCACTTCTCTCTCCTCTTCTCTCTTATAAGGTGATGGAGGCTGCACCCCAGGGAGGATCAGGCCTGGGGAAGGGTGTTGCCTCCCATTCTCAGTACTTTTACTGGTTTATCACATCAGACAATACTTTTACTGGTTTATCAGATAACCACCAAACCACTGTGAATCATGGCTCCCCCAAGCTAGCACATATTTAGGGGGGACACAATTTAATCCATGAGACTACCTACAGGTGTTTGGGGAAGCAGGAAAGGTCGGTGGGAAGTGATTAAACTAAGGATGATGCCAGTCATGATGGCAACAAGCTTGTAGGTGACACACTCAGCACTGTATCTGTGTCTAAGTCAGGAGAGAAGTACCTACCTTATTTGTTGCATCAATAAATTTGACTCCTTTATAAGAGACTGACAGGATAATAGTAGGGACCTTCTTCATTTGCTCTGTAGACTTCTGAAATTAAGATGACAGAAGTTGTCAGAAGACTTAGTGTTATATGGCAACTAAAGCACATCATTTTTCCTTTTGAAAGATAAAAATGAGCTTCAGTTACAAACAACAACACACACACCAAATACACTCTAAATGTTTTGTGTCTCTTCTTTTGGATTTAACTATGCTTTCTGTTTAAAAAGTATCTGTCTTGCCCTTAGGGATCTAAAAAGAGTCTGTTGTGTTACCTCATGTGGGGGAAGGGATACTGCTGTTCCCAGACTCCAGAGGGAGGCATGACTAGCTCGATCTCCTGTCTACCCACGGCCATCAGTCAGTTCTGACTCCTGGTGACCCTGCAGGGCAGGAGTAGAAAGCCTCGCCTTTTTTCCTGTGGAGTGGCTGGTAGGTTTAAACCGCTGACCTTGGGGTTAGCAGCCCAACAGGTAGCCAAGACTCCTTATTTCTTGGACTAGACTTAAACCTCATCAGAGTCTCCAAGGATAAGTGCAGCATTAACAAAACATGTGCATATACCATGCCCCTTATTTCTCTGTTGTAGTTGTTAAGTGCCATGGAGTCGGTGCCGACTCATAGCGACCCTGTATAGAGTTTCCAAGGAAGGGCTGGTGAGTTTGAACTGCTGACCTTGTGGTCGAGTTCTTATCCTACGGCGCAGGCACATGCTACATCAGAGTATCTACTCCAAACAGGGATTTCAAATAGATCACTGTGATTTTCTTCTTGAACCTGGCCAGTTCTGTAAAGCTGGCCTTATGCTTACCGATGAATTGCGTGTGGCCACACAGGCTGTAACACTGCGCTGTAACAGTAAAACCCTCCATAGCTGTCTGGGTTTTGAGCCTAGGCAGGATGGTAGGCAGTTCAGGTAACCTACTTTATCATTTGGAGCTGCTGTATTCCTTTAGGCTAAGTTCTTATGGTAGATGCTCACAGTGGCTTCAGGTGCTTAGACTTCTCAGCTTGTACAGTTTCACGCATCTACAAAAGTTACTCCACAATTCAGTGTGTGCCTTTTCCGTTTAGTTTTATCATTCATCAACAACCTATTTACTTCATTTTCCTCCGTGCATATGCCTAATAATCACATTAAATACCAAGAAGTACCTACCTGACAGTTAGCCTGATGAATTTTCCAGATCAGACAGGTGAGAACATAAGAGGAAAGAAAATACATAAAAAGGTGAGAGAAAGCCAGTTCAGTAAAACACAGGCAGCATAAATTCATTAAAAAACCCCCAAATGGTGCCACAAAAGAAGAGGTTTTACACATACACCAAAAGGCAGTGAAACAGTTATTTGTAAAAGAGCTGCAGGCTTTTCACCTATCTTTCACCTAGCTTCTCTGTTTTCTCATCGTTCCGTCCCCTGCATTGCACAGCCTCATGAGTGACACACAAGAACTTTATACTTTAATCTCTCAACAACTAGCTGTCTTGGGTACAGTAACGGAATCGGAAAAACAACTGAACTCTCTGGACGTTTTCATTTCTATCACTCAATCTGCCTTTTTAAAATTCTGAAAGGCGATCAGAACTCAAGAAGGCTCTCCAATGAATACTGTGCGGGAAACTCCACAATGAGGATCGCTAGGCTGTATCTTTTGCTTGAGCCTTAGGAAGGGTGTTTTACGTTTTCCTCATGATTTTCACACAACATCTTTTTAATCGCTACTGCACCTGTCTCAAAGACAAAGCAAATGAATTACTGAGACTACTGCTCTTTAATATTTATTAAATGCGACACCCGATAGAGAATAAGGTAGCTATCTTAAAGTGCTCTTTAAACTCGTTTTAAAATTATCCAGGCCTGCTAGTGTCCTTTTGTGAGTACCCCCAAAAAATATTATGAAATTGAAATACATGGTTATATACTTTTATCTTTTGGATGCTTCTATGCACAATAAATCAAAAGCAAAGCTAGAAGAAATAGCCTGCAGCATTGCCAGTTTTAAGGCAAGACAGTGGGTTGGGCTCTGTAATGTGAGGGGGGTGGTAGACAGTGCTGTAGTTTGTTTACTGAGTGTGCCAGGGAAGAAGTCTTTGCAAAGAATAAGAAAGGATTTCAACAAATCACCTCGCACATCACTTTCCATCTCACTTTCAAAATGTTCATGAAAAGATGTTCATGAAAATATAATAGATTTTTTTTCCCCATAAACTTTTTGAAGGTCCTTCAAATGTTCTCTTGGATAGATGTATTTATCTGTATCATGAAATAGTCTATGTTGTTTGATGCTGTTGAGTCAGTTCCAACACAACAAAACGAAACACGGCAGGGTCCTATGCCATCCTCACAATGGTTCTGTTTGAGTCCACTGCTGCTGCCACTGTGTTAATCCATCACCTTGGATGTCTTCCTCTTTTTCGCTGACCCTCCACTTTACCAAGCATGATGTCCTTCTCCAGGCACTGACTTCCTGACAACATGTCCAAAGTATGAGAGACAGCTTTGTCATCCTGACTTCTAAGAAGCATTCTGGCTGACAGATTTGTTTGTTCTTCTAGCAGTCCATGGTACTTTCAATATTCTTTGCTAACACCATAATTCAAATGCATCAATTCTTCTATGGTCTTTCTTATTCACTGTCCAGCTTTTGCGTGCATATAAGGCAATTGAAAATAGCATGGCTTGGATGAAGTGCACCTTAGTCCTCAAACTAATTTTGCTCTTAATAGTTCAAAGGTATATTTTGCAGCAGATTTGGTTAATGTAATATGTCTTTTGATTTCCTGACCGCTACTTCCATGAGTGTTGATTATGGAGCCAAGCAAGATCAATTCCTTAACAACATCAATCTTTTCTCCATTTATCATGATGTTACTTATTGGTCTAGTTGTGAGGATTTCTGTTTTCTTTACATTGAGGTACAATTCATACTGAAGACTGTAGTCTTTTATCTTCATCAATAAGTATTTTAAGTCTTCTTTGCTTCCAGCCAGCAAAGTTGTATAATCTGCATATTGTAAGCTGTTAATGAGTCTTCCTCCAATCCTGATGCCATGTTCTTCTTCATATAACATAGCTTCTTGGGTTATTTGCTCAGCATACAGAATGAATACATCTGTTGAAAAGAAACAACCCTGATGCACACTTTTTCTGATTTTAAACCTCTCAGTGTCCCCTTTTACTGTTTGAATGGTTGCCTCTTGGTCTAGTTTCCTCATGAACACAATGAAGTGTTCTAGAATCCTCATTGTCACTAATGTTATCCATAGTTTGTTATGATCTACAAAGTTGAGTGCTTTTGCATGGTCAACAGCAAAAGTAAACATCTTTCTGGTATTCTCTGCTTTCAGTCAACATCCATCTGACATCAGCAATGATATCCCTTGTTCTACATCTTCTTTTGGATCGGGCTTGAATTTCTGGCAGCTCCCTTTCAATGTACTCCTGAAACTGTTTTGAATTATCTCCAGCAAAATTCTACTTGCATGTGATATTAATGATATTGTTCCATGATTTTCACATCCTTTTGGGTCACCCGTTTTTGGAATGGGCACAAATATGGGAACTCTTCCAATTGGTTGGCCAGGTAGCCGTCTTCCATATTTCTTAACATAGACGAGTGAGTGCCTCCAGTGTTGCATGAGTTTGTTGAATCATTTTAATTTGTATTCTGTTGATTTCTGAAACCTTGTATTTTTATTTTGCCAATGTCTTCAGTGCAGCTTGGATTTCTTCAGTACCGTCAGTTCTTGTGGGTTTGGGTAATTGTGGGAGCAGAGGCTGGTCTCCTGTGCCATGTGAAGGGAGAGTGGGGGTGCACTGGAGGCTTGTGAGTATGGACACAGTGAGGTCCAAGATGCAGAATGACAATTCAGGTAGATGATGGAGGATGGACGGGAGCAGCTAGAAGCTGGAATCAGGAAGACAGGCAGCAGTTGTGCAAAAGCAATGAGAGCACTGAAACATCGGAGTTAAAGTAGAGGCCCTAGAGAAAGGAAGGATCAATGAGTGAACTGCTAATGAGAGAAATGATGTCTTGTTGACTGATCTGCTGGGGAAGATGAATGTGTGAGAGGATGTCAGATGATAAGCCCCTAACTAAACTAAAGAAAAATGGAAGGAAATAAGTTTTTGCATAAACATAATGGCAGACGTTTTGAATGTGCTGAGTTTGAGAAACAGGTGGAGATGATCAGTAGGAAATTGGAAACAAGAGTCAGAACTAGAAACAGCCAAAGAGTGAGGGTAACTGAGGACATGGGAGCCGCTGAGGTGACTCAAAGTGAGAAAAGTGGGATGAGGGATAAGGACTGCATCAAAGGGAAGAATAATGTATTCAGGAGTAAGGTAGATGAGGAGTCCTGGTGGCAATGAAGGATAAGCACAGGACTGCTAACTGTGGAAACCCAATACAGGGTCACTTAACATCAACAAAACAGGCAGAACAGCCAATAAAGTCAACTTGGCATGAAGATGGAAGAACTTTCAGAGCTCTATCATGGAAACCAAGAAGAGTCGTTAGAAGGTAGGAACAGAGTCAAGTGCAACGAGGAAAAACAACAATGGGGGATACACACGGGTGCTCCTATATTTATTGGGTTCACTGGGTAAAATCCTTGGCCTTCACAACTAGATGAACTTTGTTATTGGCCGTGTTAAGAGCTTCAGGGAAATGGGGGCAGCATAGGGCGACGGGAATACAAAGGAGTGTATAATACATGCCAGTGACACAGAGAGGAGAGTTGAAAGATGGACAAATCATGGCATGTGATTTTAGGCTGGAAGGAAAACATCTGTAGTGGCTTTTGTCATAATAAAAAGGTTCCAGGTGACATGCTCAGCTGAACTGAACAAAGAACAATCAAGGACGGCCATCCCTGTTTCTTTGGTGGATCTCATGAATCACTGCTTTCCTAATTGGTGGTGGGCATTCATTCCAATATGGAGACCAAACTCTCCTTCTATGTTGTCTCTTGACAAGAAGAAAATGAATACTGGTAGCTGTGGATTTAAAAGGAACTGTGGTAGGTGTCCAAAGCACTCCTCCTCCCTCAAGGCAGTTTCACTCGATAAGAGATAAGAACACAACCACTTTTCCTGGAGATTTTCTGATGGTGTACTTTGCCAAAATTTTCAAAGAGATCTTTTCATACATTATTTTCACAAAAGATGAAAATGCGCTAGACAGAGGGCCAATACACTGAATTTCAGGGAGACTACTCAGAGAGGCAAGAAATCCAATAAACGTCCACTTCATTTCATTACAGCATTAAAGACACCAAAATGTGAGCAATTCAAAGGCAGATGAAATGCCTCTTTTCTCCTCAGCACTGGAATCACTTTCTCTTTGCTCCCAGAAAGCAGGTTCTGGTTCTGAACGTCACTGCTCAAGACTACAGAGCATATTGGTTTTTACAATCTATCTGCATGCTCCACTGGGTTTTTGTATAACTCATAATCCCATGTTTTTGTTAAAACTCATGCCTTATTTAATTGTACAAACAGAATTCTCTTCACCAGACCTGTCTCCTCAGTAAAATGCTCAAGGCAAACCTAAGATTATGGTTCTCTTTTGTTTCTAGTTGCTCGTTTATATGCCATGCTGTTTGTGAAATTTCTGAAGTTTCCCAGAGTCCACCAATCCCCACCTTCAGTGCCAGTTTAATAAAATAGAGGGATTAATAATGAGGACCTCTGAGTCCCTAAACAATGGAATATTCATGGATCAGATCTAAAATGAACTTAACCTTTATAGCATCTTGCTCTCTTACAAAGACTATTCAATTGTAATTTGTTCACAATTTTCCAAATCATAATTCCATCCTTTTGTTATTCCAAGGGAAACACTATTTCGTTCTAAAGAGATGTTACATTTTTGAAACCTAAGACAAAATTCAAGTTGGAATCTTAGATCCAAAGGCAGCCTTATACTTATGACTTGCATTTATCTGCTCTCTAAGCACTGAACAGACTCTAAGTGTGGCATTGTAGGATCAGCACTGGGCTGTGAACCAAAAGGTCAGAAGTTCAAACCCACCAGCTGCTCCTTGGGAACTCTATACAAGGTCGTTGAGTCAGAACTGACTCGACAGCACTTAACAACAAGAAGAAGCATTAAACAGAATAGAGATCATAACCTCCTATATGGAGGTGGCTCCTAAAACACTGGGTTCT